TAGCTCCAAAGTGTGGTATTTTGATAAGCTTAAATGGGTATGCAAAATGTGGGAAGTGTTTGTCCCACATGAAAAAAAAATGTTGAAACAAATTGAAATTTAAATAGAGTTTAGGATTTGGGCTTGGGCTTGGGCCTAATTGTAAAGTCCAGATTATTCTTTTTTTGGAATTTTGGATTGAGCCTAATTTTAGGCTGGGCTTATTTAAATGAGTTTCACAAATGGGTGGGTTTTTTGGGTGGTTGGTTTTTTGAATTAAAAAAACTACTTTTTAGTTTTTCTAAAAGGTTGCACCTTTTAAATTAAAAAAAAATCATATTTTAGTTTTTCTAAAGGGTTACACCTTTTAAATTAAAAAAACCACTTTTTAGTTTTTTCAAAGGGTTACACCTTTTTCCGAACCATCATAACCCATGGTTGCACCCACTCGAAAAGGCACATTGCAACCTATTGGAATGGATGTGTCTATTGGTGAACAGACCCTATGTGAACCATTGCAACCTATTGGAATAGATGTGTCTAGTGGTGAACAGACACCATGTGAACCATTGCAACCTATTGCAATGGTTGTGTCCAATAATGAAAAGATACACCCCATCCGAAAAGGCATTTCTGTTTCTATAATTACCCCCCTTTGGATCATTTGCAAGTGGTTGATTTTTCAGTTTCTTCTATCTCCCTCTTTAGACTTGAACCCAACCCAAGTGGGTTCAAACCATAGGTTAAGTGGTCCGAACCACTTCGACCCTAATCCAATTTCATCGAGCCATATTAAGATTAGTCCGAACCATTTGATTCGGATTGCATCCAATTCAGCATTTATATAGTATAGATGCATTTTTGAGTCAGAGAGAGTATTACACGGAGAAGGTTCGCCATATCCACGAGTTTGTAGTGCTGCTACTGGTGGATGTAGACCGTTGTATCCTGGGAGATAGACGCCATTGAGTCCGTTAGCACCATAGCGGGGCAAATCTATCTTAAGGACATAGTATTCAATACTAGCCTCGGTCCAGGTTCTTTATTTATTATTTATTAATTTATTACTTTATTTTTCATATTTAATTAAATATATATTTGCATATTTAATTAATCATTTGTTAGCATATTGTTAATTATCTCATAGCATATTAGTAGGGTTGTTATATCTTAAATGTCACATGAAGCATATATTTTTACGAACATCTTATTTATTGAGATTTGGGCTTTATCTTGAATGTTCTTTATTTATATATATATGACTAAATATGATTGAGCAATTGCCCACTATATGTCTCATGTTTGTTTATGAATTTATTAAATTAGGTGAGATGCTGCAATCAAAGTCGATAAACAGGAGGTGATGAACCCTTTGATGATGACCAATTGATTGATCCACGGTTAGAGTTAAGCGACCAAAAACTATAAATAAACAAAGTAAGTTGTGAGCTTCTTTTCTTCTTTTCCATTCAACCGAACGAAACGAAAGAGGTTCATAATCTCTTCCCTAGGGATGTTTCATCCTTCATTTCTTCTCTCCCTTCCATTCAATTTTCTTCTTTCGTGTCAGACGAAGAAAACATAGTATAAAATTAATAGTAACCAAAATTTAATTTAAAAGCTATTAACTAATGTAAAAAATACTAAAAAGTATTTACAAATTTAAAATATCTTACTCATATTAAAAATACAATTTTTATATAGGAATAAGATGGAAGGAAATGTATTTAAAAAAAATTAAAAAATACATCCTTGGGGTGGTCTTCACCAAAAGAACGTAGTATAAAATTAATAGTTAGCAAAATTTAATTTTAAAGCTAAGCTATTAACTAATATAAAAAATAGTAAAAAATGTTTGAAAATTCAAAATGTCCTAGTCATATTAAAAATAGAAGTTTTTGTCCACCATAAAAGGAAACGTATAAGAATACAGTAATTATATAAGAATAAGATGGAAGGAAATGTAAAAATAAAAAAAAAAAGAGTATGAATTATTAGATGAATTATTAAGTGTTGTAATTTGATATGGGTCATTAGGTGCTTTAATGAGAATTTTTATTTTTAAAAAAAAATCTAAAATGTTACGAAATTAGCTACACTTTTAGAATAGTATAGAGATATAGATATACATTTCGTTATATATAAAAGAGACTATGTAAGGACTTTTGAGATACTTCAGATTGCATCTCTTATACAAAATTAGATTGTGTATCCTTTTGTTATATATAAAAGATTGTGTCTTTGATAATTAATATCAATCTATTACTTTAGGTATTTGTTAATTGCTATAATGATTAAAACTAATGATCTGACACCCAGAAACAAAAAACAAGAAGAGAAATAAATAAAAAAAATTGTAAAGCATTAAAAAATAATAAAACATTGCCGTTTTTGTTTTAGATTTTGTACAAATCAAATATTATGTTTGAGTACCATGAAACTTGATGTGAAAACAGAAAAGAAGATGATACCGCTATGGAAAACTAAAAAAATAAGAGCATCTGTAGCAGTGTATTAAAATATTTTTGTGTATAAAATATACACGGCTACATATGATGTGTAATTTATTTATTTATTTATTTATTTTTTTATCTCCAACAGTCTGTTAAGATACATTGCCACGTCGCCAATGAATAAAATTATTATATATTTTACATAACTAATTTACACAACCACATCAACATATTTCCTTTCTTCTCCCTCTTTCTCATTTCATCAAAGCATTTCAAACCTTTGTGTATATTTTTTATTTTTTGTAAATCTAATGTATCATAATAGATTTACACTTAAAATTTGGATTAATAGTGCTGAAGATGCTCAATCGTTGTATATATATATTTTTTGTGTAAATCTATGTATCATGATAGATTTACACAAAAATTTTGGATTATTTATTATTTTATATTTTTTGCGTAAAAATATATCTCCCAATAACAATCAGCCACATGCATGTCGGAACCACATAACTTTTACAAACCCACTTAATATAGGGTTGATTATTTAATGGGAATGAGAAAGAAGGAGGAGAAATAAAATATGCTGATATGGCGGTGTGAAAAGGTTGTGTAAAATGCACAACAATTTTACACATTGATGAACATTGATGATGTGGCAGTGTATCTTAACACACTGTTAGAGATAAAAAAATTTACACATCATACGTGAGAGTGCATATTTTAACATACGGCTGTAGATGCTCTTAAAGAATCAATCCTATATTAAGTAGATTTGTAAAAGTTATGTGGGTCTGGCATGACACATGGCTAATTGTTATTAGAGATATATTTTTATACAAAATGTATAAAACAACCGCGAGAGCTAAAAATAAATAATCCAATTTTTGTATTTTTTTGTATTTTTTTTTTTTTTTTGTCTAAATCCAACTGCTGGAGATGCTCTAAGTAAATGAGTTATAAAAAACTGAAAAAATAAGGAAAGAAAAATAAAAGTATTTTATGGAAACAAATAATAATAGCAATAATGCCTATTTAAGTTGGTATTAAAGTTGCCAATAATATCATTTTTTAACATATTATTGGTAACCAATGTAAAATAAAAATCACAATATAAAACATGCCAAGATAGATCACAAAATTTACAAGACTGTCTAATAATGAATTGAGAGTAAATTAATTTTGAGAGTACTTACAAGATGTAAGTACACCAGCAGAGCAGACAAAATACACATTTCTAACATGGACAGCCTCACATTTGATTACCAAATTTTATTTTCACACAATAAGAAAGAGATCCGAAAAAGTTTGAAATACACACGAAAAAAAAAACAACAACTGTAATGCTTCTTTGTTAGGTACGAATGAAGATGAGTAAAGAGAAGATAATAAATAAAAGTAGTTTCTGCATTAATATTCACTGGCTAACAGTGAGCTGTAAAAACAAAAGCAAGTATTTAAATTGCAGGGCGAAGCAACAAATTAGATTCTTTGACACCTTGTTTTGCTTAGAAACAAGTTTAACAAAGAACCACTTCTCATTTTATATTTAGTTTACATAATAGTTTTTCATTACCAGACTAGTTTAGAAAAAAGACTAAAGGGTATCTTGCTTTTGCAACAGAAGGTTAAAATAAATAAATAAATAGAAGTGCATCTCAATTCTCAACAGTCCTTTGACTTTTTATTTTTTATTTTTATGTTTTTATGGGTATGTGAAGAGATGGATTGTCATGGAGTGGATATAAGTGGAGCTGCTATGTGATGAATATATCATATTATATAGAAGCAATTGCTGATAAGTAACTAATTAATTATTTGCCATCATATTATATATATAGAGAGAGAGATCTTGTGAATGCCATCAAGCCATGCGGCCATGCCTCTAAGCAATTTGAAGCCTGTTCTTAGAGATGTGGCTGCACCCCCATTCAAATAAGAGGATGATTATTATCATTAGGAGAATGAGAATGTGGTAGCTATACTTAAATGTTGTACTCCTAGAACGTCAAACTAGCAAGAAACAAAAAAGTGGCAAATTATTAATTATTGGGCGATAATATTGAGAATGTCACGATTTATGGGTAGAGTAGGAAACTTACAGTTACCAACTTTTGGTTAGTGAAAATACTATATATTAGGAAACTAATCAATGAACTGAAGCATTAGGTTGATATACCAAACATTATTTATGTATGTTGGTAACTACTACAAAGTGTATGGGGAAAATAAAATTAAGTTATTTATACATTTCACTAGCTTGTTACGTGCGCTTACATTTTGCTGAATTAATCTGCGAGAAAAAACTACAAATAAAATTTTTATATGCATGTGTAGTACATCATCTATATATATAATTACACTGGATATCAATCACTTTAAACCGATGATCATTTCTTTGGTGAGAATTTCCAGTGAACAGAAAGTAGCAATAGTGCTAATGAAAAAGCACAAGAAACAAAAGAATTAACGTCTCAAGGCCTCCATTTTTGTTTCTGAGTTAATATTGGGGTGGGCGTGGATTATAGAAACGTGGTCCGGGCTTCCAGGCTAAACATTCTTCATTCTCGTTGTATGGGCCTAGTAGCTGAAGTTTAAGGCAATTCCCCATTTTCTAACATTTTTGTGTCTGAGTTAATATTGGGTTCCCCATTTTCTAACATTTTTGTTTCTGAGTTAATATTGGGTTCTTCTTCTTCTTCTTCTTATCATTACTATTATTATTATTATTATTATTATTATTATATGACATGTTTTCTTTACTTTTCTCTTTCTCTCTCTACCCCACTTTTCTCTCACCTCTCTCTACCTTAGCCGCCGCTCCTCGCCTTCCTTCATCTACTTCCTCCTCACTCCCTCCATGGGTAGTTGGTTGCTGGGTCGCTCTTCTTATCATTACTATTATTATTATTATTATTATTATTATATGACATGTTTTCTTTACTTTTCTCTTTCTCTCTCTACCCCACTTTTCTCTCGCCTCTCTCTACCTTAGCCGCCGCTCCTCGCCTTCCTCCATCTACTTCCTCCTCACTCCCTCAATGGGTAGTTGGTTGCTGGATCGCTGGAGTTGGGTTTGTTTGTTTGCTTATTTTTGAAGCTTTTTGGTGTTTTGCGCTGGGAGTGGATCTGATGCATTTACGTCTTTTGTTGACGTATGTTGTCTTTGCCTACACTGGTGTGTTTGGTTCTCTCGCAGGTGGTTTTTGTCTATGATTTTTTTCTTTTGTTGTGGTGTTTTTCTTTCTGTAGCTGGTACCCTTTTTCTGGTTTGTCAAGACTGTTGATCTTGACTATAAGATGTGTTAGTTAGTTTGAGATGGTGTTTTATGTGTTTTGATCTTCTGTATCTGCCCAATGATCTTGTTGTAGATGCCCTATGGCGTATGACATGTTTTCTTGCTAGGGTTAAAAAAAAGAAAAAAGAAAAAAAAAAAGACATGTTTTCTTCTTCTTATTATTATTATTATTTATTATTATAATAATATTATGCATTCTTATGATTGTAATGCTAGCACCTATGTTATCAATAGAAATATTTCAACTATTAATGCTTAGTTTCAAAAATATTTTAAGGGTTCTTCACTTTAACCCTATTTAATTAGGTTTACTTGTGTGGAAGAGAAAAATCTTAATGCCATGAGTGGAGTCCGAAAAGTATATAGGCATGTTGCATGGATTTTTTTTCCGGTTAATTAAGGAAGCTATATTTTATTCATTGTTTTTCTCAATGTATTTAAAAATTTCCTTAGGAACATTTGCATTAATTAATCAAACCTTTTAATTTTTTGGACAAAGTAAACTATATTAACCCTTGCTTGAAAATCTTTTGAATTAAACTTTTCATTAAGTCTCAAGTATGAGATGTCTTTCAATGCTGCCCATTCTCCCAAAACTGCAAACAGTATAAGCAGGCGGCATTGGACAAATGCAATCATTGATCTGCTTGAAGGGTGAAAGTATAGTGCGTTAGCTTTATATTATTTGTTTCATTATCTCATTTTTTTGGAAATTTTAACGGCACATTATGTTAGTTTTTGGGAATTTTATAACTTTGAAAAATTTTCAGTAATTTGTTCATGAAACCCCGTTATTTTGTTTTTAATCCAGGGCTTCAACCCCAAAAAAGGTTTCTGCTGTTGGGACAGCATAACCAAACCTTGCTGATTTTGCTTCCAAAGTTGAGGACGCCATCATCAATCCTCTGCTGTTGGGAATGGATTGATGATGATGGTGCTGCAGATTCATTTAGTAGGAGGTTCCGGACTTTCTGGTTTTGACGGTGATGAAGTGTCTTCGTTAACCACAAGACCTTGAAAAATTGGTACTCACACATCTGTCTCTTTTAAGACTTAAACCTCTGACCTCTCAAAGAGAGGTAAGAGACTGATAATGCTAAGCCACTGACCCGTTGGTATCTTTTTGTTTTCTAAGCTATGTTTTCTAATATGTTAAATGTAGCTGTTGTCTAGCATATTATATCTGGCTGATATTTGTAACAATTGCCCTGTTTATCATTGGAATTCTGATTTTTTTAGTTTTGCAAATTACCATTTCATTAGCAGCAGATGCACAAAACTGAAATTCTTAAGCTTACCCATATAGGATACGGATGCTGTACAAGACAAGAAAATTGGTTCCACACTATCACTCACAGACCAAAGAAGTCCACATACTTGAATAGTTGAATCTAAATTAAAAGTATGTAGTTCTATGTTTGTTTGAAGATATTCCCCTTTATATAGAATAACTATACTTGAAAGGTGAAGGGACTCTTGTAGCATATGCTTAAAAGAAGGCCCTCTTGGCAGGAGGTCTTCCAACAGCTCTCATCAAGTTGGCTATTTCAAGAACCCTAGCCACTTTGGAACCCCTCTTGGCCTCTGCTGATGCCTTCCTTTCCTCTGCTTTCCTGTGTGCTTTTGCTACTTCGTTCTGCATTTTTTCCAACGCTCTTGCTCTTTTCTCCTCCAGCTTCCTCTACAAAGAGAAAATTCTCCATGTTATTATTTAACTGTTTTGTATCCATTAACATATCCTCTCATTATTGAGGAAGATTTACAAATAATATGCTGAGACATGGAAATTATTGAATCATCCTTCTTATTTTTCTATTTCTTTTATTCTAACAACTTCTGTAAACTTTATAGGTGAAAAAGGTAAATTTCAATTCCAATTCCAATTCCAATTCAAGGGAAGCAGTGAACAATTGGGACTGTAAAATTAGACAAATCAGATAAAAAGATGGGGAAATTAATTGGATATATAATTTCGATTGAGTTAGCAAGTAATTAAATTGAAAAGTTCGGCTTTGTCAACAAGTAAATCAATTCTTGAATACATAAATGCCACAGGTCCGTGGAAGTAAAGTGAACCTTACTCACATGTACATGTATGTAGGCACTTTGGCATGAAATATGTACATACACATATATCACATGTGACATAACATGATAAACTAATTAACAAGCATGAAGTTCCATTTATTCATACATACCTCAACTTTCTTCATCCGTGAAGTGGCCTTCTGAACCTGCTCTCTCTCCCAAACACTGATGATGGCGTCCTCACGCTTCAACCTGTTATTAATCTTGGCAATCTTAGCGGTCTGCCACGCAGATATCTTCGTCTCAGCTTCCTCTTTCTTCACTCTCTGCACAGACACCTCACTATGGCTACTTGCACTACCGGTATACCTAGGGGATGGTACAGGGTTCATAGGGTTATTATCGGGTACAATAGCCAACGGGTTGGTTTCCTCGAACATATGATCATCATCCTCGCCAATCCTAGCCAAGTTGTTTGATCCGTTGCTCGTGTCATCGTTGTTGTTGTTGTTGTTGTTGTTGTTTCCATTAATATTGTTCCCTGTTATTGCAGACCCTGCAATCACTAAAGCATTGAATTCTCTACTTATGCTTGTAAAATTCTCACTGGAAGCGCCATCACTGCCTGTGGAAAAAGATGATGATCCATGGATATTTGTTTCCCATGTTTCTCTTGGACGGACATGATTGACCGGCTGAGGTGGGGTTAGGGCATGGATGTCTCTGATATGTACATCATCATCTTCTCTGGTACTTGTGGCATCCACTTGGTCGTTCAACATGTTTGCAGGGTTAATTTTAATTAGGATGTGGATTCAACGATACTGAAACAAGATTCTGATGGAACATACAAACAAGAGAGGGCAGGAGGAAATGAAGAGTGAAGGGTTTAAGCTGTCTCAATAGGTTGTATTTATGAGCTTCACATGCCCAGTATTATTGATCAGGAAAGTTGAAGTGATAGCTCATAAAATAGACCTTGAAATGAATGTGACATTTTAGGGTTATTGTTGAATTTTCATTTTTAACTTATAAAATCAATTGCTCCTTTTTTTTTCTATTTTTTATTTTAGCCATACATGTACGTAGAAAGGTCTACAGTAACCCACATTAGAATTTTAGTTAAAATTAATTGTTGCTTTTGCTGAATTGGGTGAGGATCAAATTTGAACTTAATTTATTTGTTTAAAGAACGTGTCCAAACATAACTTTAGACAAGTTGAACACAAATTGTTCATGAATAATTTATGGGTATCCTTCTTAAAAATAACTTATTGTGTGTGATTATAGTAATTTGTACTCTTAATAAGATAAAATGCCAGTTAAAATATAATAAATCCAATTAAATGTTATCCTAAAATATCTTCTTAATTGAATTAAAGATAGTAATTAGTGGTACAGTTTAATATAGTTGTTTTACTAACAAGGAAGGGATCTTTGCGAAGGATTTAACTAGTAACAGGGTTAAATGCAAAATCACAAAAGTTAAGGGACAGTTAGCATATAACATTATTCGGAAGGAGATTCTTTGCAAAAATCCTAGTCAATCTTTTGTCCTTTTGAGTGTCGGCCAAAATATTGGGGAATCGAGGAGCCCACCCAAAGTAAGGAGTGCCGAGTGGACCAATCACACCATGCACACGCGTGACAACGTAACAATCAAAAACAATGGCCAATATTAGACGTGGCAAGATATGATCGCTTACGGGCCCAACAAAATTGCCAAGGTTGACTCCATCCATACACGTGTTCGATGGGTCTTTGGTTTTCAAGATGCCCACGTCTCAAGTGATAATTAATATTATCCGAACATAACACGGAGTAATCTAATAGTATTTATCTTTTTTGGTTTGTAAGAAAGATCAAAGTTAATGTACTAATCAAAAAAGCAAACATGAAGTAACTTTATGGATGCATTTATTCGAAGGTGTAATGTCAATCCTCTTCACTAATAAAATAATAGAGTATACTATGTAACGGTGTCAAAATATGGACAGAACTTAATATTCAAAACCGACCGGTTAAATATTTTAATATTATATAACAAAAATCAAAATTTAGAATTTGGAATTGTAGATTATTTAGTACAAATTTTTAATTAACTTTCTTTTAACTTTAAATTCAAGGTGTGGATTCAGTATTTTCAAACATGACAAAAATATTTTATTAATGTTTGGATGGAGATTTCACAAAATTAAAATCTTGAAATGTTAAACTATAATTATTAATATATTGGAATCGGAATCAATTTGATGTATTAGGCCCGGTTTAAGTGAGCTTCCAGAATCTCAAAAAGATCTTCCAGACTTAAAAAGTTCATTTGAAAAAAATTGTAACGTTTGGTTATAAATATGTAAAGGAATTTTTTGAAAAGCAAATGATTAGAAGCCCGTGCCAGACAAGTAAGAAAATGTTATTTTTGAAACCTATTATTAACAAACCAATTTTTTGTAAAGATAAATTTATTATTTTACAAATTTGTCCAAGTACTTTTCATAAATTGACAAAGGTGTCATATATTCTTTCTTGATATATCCTCTATCCTACCGTTATCTTCCATCATCACCACCGCCACCATCACCTTTCACTGCCACTGCCACCAACTATTATCACCTTCCACCATCGCCACCGCCACCATCAACCTTCACTACCAATGCCACCAACCACCACCACCGTGACCTTTCTCCTCCTCCACCACCATCACCACCACCACCACCACCACCCTTCACTACCACCGCCACCATTGCCACCAGCACCTTTCACCATCACCATCGTTGTCACCACCACCTTCCATCATTGCCACCATCACCCTTCACTACCATTGCCACCTTTCACCATCACCATCGCCACCTTCCAGGCTTCCATGCATCACTATCACCATCGCCTACATCATCACATTCAACCACCACCTTCCACCACTACCACCACCAGTGCAATTGCTTTCTGCCACCACCACTGCCAGTATTGTCATCACCTTCCACCATTACCGCCTTCACACTTTTTAATTGGAGGGTTGCAATAATTGTTAAGGACAAAGAATATTATTGTCAAGAAAAAAATATTCTAAAATTTAAAGTAAATTTAAGAAATATACTCGCCAAACTTCTTCTTCTCATGAATTTCTTCCAATAAGATTTCTTTTACAAATGCCTTTATGAATAAAGGACTTTTTTATATGAAGAAACTCCCCCAAAAAGGGTCTTAATATAGGAAATGATAGAACTATAGGAAAAACAACTTTGTTAGACGTTGAATTAGCAACATTAATAGACCAATAAGATTAAAATATTTTTGGAGTAATGATACTTGCACCGATTTGTTACATCGAATGTTTTTGATTGGTTATTTATGCATAGTACATGTAAGTGGAAGACTTCTTTACTTATGCATAAATAGACCGATTAAAATAAATAGGTTTGACAATTCATTACAACAAATCGCATAAATAAAGAAGTGGAACCTTCCACTTACATGTACTATTCATAAATAACCAATCAGAAATATTCGGTGCAACAAATCGTGCAAGTATCATTAATCATATTTTTGTAATATGTAATAAATTTCAATGACTATGCTAGTGTGGAAGAAGGAGGTGGTTTTATATTGAGGCAATTTTTTTTCTTAAAAAAACAAAATAATTAAAATTGTAGAACTCCAATATATATAGACCGGAATAAAAAATAAGATTAACATATATGACCTCATATATTTTGAACTAGATTTTGATTACTTGCAATCATGCTACTACCCCAAAATTACTAGTAAAGTAATATTGAATTTGAGAACTGAATTTACACCAATAATTCAAAAGATAAATATACTACAAATAATAATAACATATCTTCAATTGTATCATTCATTTGCACACCTAAATGAAGTTTGCACTGCATTTTGGCATCTAAAATTTCTTTGTCAGCTCCATTATTATAAATTTTTTGTATTTTTTTGTTCCTGTTATTTGTGCACCAGTGCTGTCAACAAAATTTATATAGTTTTGTCCAGTCCAACGCCATTTAAATTATCAAAGGAATTTTTATTTTTATTTAATAGATAAATGTCCAAAATAAGTCTTGTTTTGTTTAAACGCTTGTGGTTTGTTTTAGCATGTTTGATAGAGTATGGGAAAGAATGGAAAACAATGGAGATGGATGAAGTATTTCTAGATAATAGTGGAGCGTTCACAATTAATAAGGAATATTTTGTTTTGTACGACTAAAAGTAAAACTACAAATATAAAAAGGAAACACAAAAGATGTTTGTCTCTTCCTTTTAAGACCAGTGATTTAGGGAAAAATATAGGTTGTCCGGTTCAATTTCTTAAAAAATTTATCTCAAAAAATCAAGGAAAACAGCTGAGAACTATATAGAATTGATCAAATAAAATAGTTGATAATTAAAAAAAACAGTTATCTGATTTTTTATTTTTAATTGAGTTTTTCAGAAAATTGTCCAGCAATTTTTTTATAATATTTTTTTGTTCAGTTGTTAAAAAAATTGAACCAGATTGGACTCATTACTCTTTTTTCCTTCTCATTATTTCTCTCAATTTAAACTTTTACTCCATCTTTTAATGGTTCCTGGATCGAATTTTGATCCGAATCCAATTCGATAATTTGATTACGATCCGAATCTAATAATCTAATTCCTTAATAAATCGAATAAGACTTTATGCTTATCTGATCTGTTTAAATTTATAATAATAATAATAATAATAATATATTATATTATATATATACAATACTCTTATCAAATTTATATTAGATGTAACAATATATATATATATATATATATATATATATATATCATAATGTTATATGTATGAGGAGGCCCTGGATGACATGGGCCAGGTCCGACTCGCAAAACACAACCTTCAGTCCGAACAGCTGGGTCAGCCCATAAAAAGACACTGCCATATGGGCCGAGCGGGAGTAAGCCCATCAAGAGTGACCAGGGCTTACTGAGGAATAGGCCCAAGTCCAGCAATTAGTAAATATCTTGTAAATATCTTGTAAATATCTGGGAAGTATCTATAAATAGGAGTTGGAATGAAGAGGAGGGGGATCTTGATTCGGGTTGAGGTGTAAGAATTCTAGAGAGAGAAAGAATAGAAGGAGTTTCTTGCATCTTCAATTGGCGCCGTCTGTGGGAAACGCATAAAAGTTTGGTTGATCAATGAGGAGTATCGAATGGATTCAAACCAATTCGGTTGATCGAGACTCGATCTTGCGGATTTGAATCCAGATCTGAGCGATTGTGACCTACTCTGGAGGAATTACGATTCTTGAAGCTTTGGCAGGAGTGACTTCAGATCTACGCAACCGCGAGTTGCTCGATTGTGACAGGATCTGACGGATTTAGAGTCCAGGCAATTCAGATCTTGTAAACAGTGAGCATAATTCGGAGAATTAGAAGCCAGATCTAAAAATTCCTACTCACGAAGATTAGATCTACTCGCGAACTTGAGATTAATGCCTTTACTCCGTTCGGGAATAATGATAGGTGAAAGCTCCAATCCGATGGAGGCTGTCCAGCAAACAAAGCTTGAAGAGTTGATGAATTTGATTGAAGCTCTCAGAAAAGAAAATGCAGAATTGAAAGCTGGATTGCAGCATCGGCAAATACCCGCAGTCTCGCATCCGCTTCCGGTCGGAGAAGGAGGTGTTCCATCTAGTATCGCGCATCAAGGCGATCAGAACGAGAACAATCAGTCAGCTCACCACCGTGATGAAAGGATGATGGACAATTCGCCGCCAAATGTTCGTCGAGTTGAAGATCACGAAGGCTCGACTCACGTTGATCCGCAGCGGGAAAGGTTTGACCGAGAGGAAGTGATGGAGGTAGATCGCCGTCGAGTAGCGTCGCCTTGGCAGAGAGAGTTCATAGAGGAACGGTCGTTCGATCCGTCTTACCGGCCCTCCATGGTTACTGTCACTCATCACGGTTCGGA